CCAGCCCAGTCTAGTCTAGTCCAACTCAGCCCAGCCCAGCCCAGCACAGTCTAGCCAGCCCTGCCCACCACAGTCGCTCACGGGCAGACAGCATGCTGGACGCTTCCCCCCTCAGGCCTTCTACATGATCCGGTTCCATTCCTTCTACCCGTGGCACACAGGCGGTGACTACCAGCAGCTGTGCAGCGAGAAGGACCTGGCCATGCTGCCCTGGGTGCAGGAGTTCAAGTATGGCCAGCCTGCGAGGGGTGGGGTGGGGGGAGCAGGGGGAGACAGGAGTGGAGGGTAGGTAGGCCCTCCGACCTCACCACCCCTCCTCCCTGACAGCAAGTTTGACCTCTACACCAAGTGCCCTGACCTGCCTGACGTGGACAAGCTGCGGCCCTATTACCAGGGGCTCGTTGACAAGTACTGCCCTGGAGTCCTGAACTGGTGACCCCCCCCCCTGCAACCCCGGGGCTGGCCGAGTGTCCCGGGTGATGGGCCTGCTGCAGCCCCGGCAGACAGCACTGTCAGGACAGTGACGCTCCACCTCAGCTTTCCTGAAGGACCCCCACACCCACCTGCAGTCAGCGCCCCAGTGTACAGCCACCACACCCTGCAGCAATAAAGACCTTGAAGCAGCCTTGTGGGTCTGACCCTGCCCTGGGGGTGCCAGGTCCCTCCTTCTGCTGAGCTGTGTTGTGGCAGCTGCAGTGGCCCTGGGCAGAGAAGATCCTGCATGTAGGGCAGGAGGAGAATCCTGGCCCCCACCCCTGCCTGCCCGCACCTGAACAGCCTATTCATTCTCCCAACTTCCCAGGCCAGCCTACAACTCCTCCCTCTCGCTCCCCCCGGACGGATTATCCAATAGGCAACGTGAGCACAGTGCTTGCCTTGCTTACCAGATCATCTGTAGTGAATGATTTCACTTGCTTACCTTACCTTGCCTATTGGGTAATCTGTACCTGCTAGCCCCTCACTCTCCAAAGGGTCGCCCAGTTCTGGGGGCACTGTCTCCTTTCAAAAACCCAAAAGTCAAAGATTACATCTATAGAAGACACCATACAGCGGATCTCAGATTAACTGCTGTAAAATGAGCACTAGCCTGCAAGGGCCCACCAGCACGCCTACATGCTCCCAGGTTCGGCCCCACCCAGAGCCACCTCCATCTTAGCTTACCGCCAATCACTCCCTTTTCTATGTTGTTTAATCTTCAAAGTGCACCTTCTAAACGTTAGCCAAGTTTCTTTCAACCCCAAGTCTTCGCTCCATCTCTTTTTTCCGCTTGCAGTTTGTTTTTAGAAGAAAGTGGGTCCTCTGTCTCATAGAATGCCCTTAAGTTGGGACTTTGCTGATTGCATATGGTGTACCTTAACAGTTTCTGGATTCCCATGGTGTATATTAATGGTTTCCTCTGCACTTCCTGCTAATCTATGAATGCATATAGAGGCTTAATGAGATCTATGTTTGGTTTTGGAGGCGCACTCTTTATGAGGGGCACGTGACGCCTGCCTTTCCACGTGGTTAGCAGCCACGGTGCTCAGGCTAACGTAGACCCTCAATTCACTAGGGCCCAATGACGACGTTGCCACTCCATCACTCTCTCGTCCCTTACTCGTTGGAACACTTCTGTAAGCAACGCTTCCGCTCTGTTTGGTTACCCAGGGAAGGCTGGATAGATGCTGAGTGCTTCCCTTTGCTGACCAATCCTCTCAGGTTGGTTGCTAGCATCCTTCAAAGGTGATCGTCTGTTTTGGTTAAGAACACACAGGCTTCAGCATATTTGGTGGGCTTTCATCCACTGAGTTATTGTCCTCATCGTGCTCAGATTGTCTTATCCTTGGCTGCAGGAGTGGACTGGCTCCAGGGTCCTCTGGGGTAACTCTGTAGATGCCTACTGTCCGGTGGGACATTACACTCAGCCTGAATGACTGTCCTGGGGCTGTGTGACAAATAACTACATACTGGGTGGCTTGTTGGTGTTGTTGTTAGGTGCCGTCAAGTCAGTTCCAACTTACATCAACCCTATGTACAACAGAACAAAACACGGCTGGTCCTGTGCCATCCTCATAATTGGTGTTAGGCTTGTGCCCATTGTTGCAGCCACGATATCTTCCTCTTTTTCGCTGACCCGCTACTTTACCAAGCACGATGTCCTTTTCCAGGGATTGGTCCCTCCTAATAACTTGTCCAAAGTACGTGAGATGAAGTCTCATGATCCTTGCTTCCAAGGGGCACTCTGGCTGTACTTTTCCCGAGACAGATTTGTTCATTCCTCTGGCAGTCCATGGTATATTCAATATTCTTTGCCAACACTATAATTCAAAGGTGTCAATTCTTCTTCGGTCTTCCTTATTCATTATCCAGCTTTCACATGCATATGAAGCAACTAAAAACACCACGGCTTGGGTCAGGCGCACCTTAGTCCTTAAAGTGAGAGCTTTGCTTTTTTAACACTTTAAAGAGATCTCTTGCAGCAGATTTGCCCAATGCAATGCATCATTTGATTTCTTGACTGCTGCTTCCATGGGTGTTGATTGTGGATCCAAGTAAAATGAAATCCTTGACAACTTCAATTTTTTCTCTGTTTATCATGATGTTGCTTCTTGGTCCTGTTGTGAGGATTTTTTGTTTTCTTTATGTTGAGGTGTAATCCATAGTGAAGGCTGTGGTCTTTGATCTTCATCAGGAAGTGCTTCAAGTCCACCTTAGTCCTGCAAAGGCTAGCACAACAGAATGTATCCTCTCACAGTTCTGGAGGCTAGAGGTCTGAAATCTGGGTGTCAGCAAGATCATGCTCTCTTCGAAGGCTCTAACGGAAGCTCTTTTCTTGGCTCGTCCAGCTTCCGGTGGCCCCAGGCATTCCTGGGTTTGTTACAGCATCACTCCATCTCTGCGCTGTCCTCACATGGCCTTCTTACCTGTGTCTGTGCCTTCTCCCCTTCTGTCTCATATAAGGACACTTGTCCTAGTGTTTAGAGCCACCTGGCTAATCCAGAATCATCTCAAGATCCTTGACTTAAATACATCTAACCAAACTAAACCAAGCCCTTTACTACTGAGTCAATTCTGACTCATAGCGACCCTGTAGGACAGAGTAGAGCTGCCCCCATAGAGCTTCCAAGGCTGTAATCTTTACGGAAGCAGACTACCACATCTTTCTCCCATGGAGCAGCTGGTGGGTTCAAACCTCTGACCTTTCAGTTAGCGGCTAAGCATTTGACCACTGCACCACCTGAGCTCCTTCTGCCGGGCCCTTTTTCTAAGTAGATCAGGCTCACAGGTGCCAGGGGTATCTCTTGGGGCCATTTTCTGGCCTACCACAGGGGCTGCCTCAGCCCTGAATCAGCCGTTCTTCCTGGGGAGCCCTGGAAGATGATATTCCAAATCCACATGTGGAGGCTGAAGACTAACTCCCCTCTTGAAAGTCCACCTACATCTTCACCTCTGGTCTTGGCTATCAGATGTAAGCGTAACCGCACCAACTCCCTCACCCCCGTCTGAGCACACCCTATCTGCCCCAACTCCCCTCCTCGGCCCTCCCTGCGAACCCTGGCTTCATTTGTGCCCGCCCACCCCATCATGTTTAGGGGCAGGAGAAGGGCCTTTGCTCAAATTGCCCCCCACCTGGCCCCTCCTGGGAAATTCCCACCTGCCCTTCTCCATCACCCCCCAGCTATGAGGTTCCCTGGAGCCACTCTGTGGGGGCAGAGAGGTACTGGGGAAGTGGCCTCAGAGTCTGGACTTGATCCAGGTGCTGGAGGTGGGGGGCTTGCAGCAGGGATGGGTGCAGCAGGCCAGCAGGGTGAATCTCAGAGGGAAGCTGGGGTGGGTGGGGAAAGAAGTATTCACCCTCACCCTGCTGTGGCACCTGAGCATCTTGGTCCCTGTGCCTCACTGTGCACGAGGCCGTCTCCCAGCCACCCCCACCACATCTCCCTGGGGACCCACTGGCCCCAGTAGTCAGAGCGGTCCTCTGTCTCTGCATCTGTCAACCACCACTGGCATCCAGCCCTGGGCAGCTGCAACCCTGACCACCACCCAGGCCACCAGACCTACCCAGGACCCTTGTAACCCACCCCACACCCCCATGTTTACCCCGTTACTCCAGAGTCAGCACGGGACTCCAGATCTCTCCTCACACCCCTCAGGTGCAGCCCCAGACCCCCAAATTTGTTCCCCCACCCCACACTGAGCCTGGCACCCTGCCCTGGCAGCCCCTGACCCTGGGCTCCTGAAGGTGATAGCTAGTCTCTGAGCTTTGACCCCTGTAGGCAGTGCACAGGAGGGGCAGCCATGGGCTAGGTGTGCAGCATAGAGCCATCAGGGCCAGGAGCGAGACCCCCCCCAGTAGCAAGACCCGCAGCTCAGAACTGAGACTCCCCAGGAGTGAGACCCCCAGGAATGAGACCCCCATCCCAGTCCAGGAGTGGGACCCTCAAGAGCAAGACCCCTGGCCCAGGAGTGACTCCCAGTCCAGGAGCAAGACCCCCAGGAGCAAGACCTCCAGTCTAGGAGCGGGACCCTGAGGAGCGAGACCCCCAGCTCCGTCCAGGAGGGAGACCCCCAGGAGTAAGAGCCCCAGTCCAGGAGTGAGACCACTAGAAGCAAAACTCTGAATTCAGGAGGGAGACCCCCAGGAATTAGACCCCAGGAACAAGACCCCTAGCCCAGTCCAGGAGCAAGACTTGCGGTTCAGGAAGGAGAGCCCAGGAACGAGACCCCAGGAAGGAGAGCCCAGGAAGGAGACCCCAGGAACAAGACCCCAGGAAGGAGAGCCCAGGAAGGAGACCCCAGGAACAAGACCCCAGGAAGGAGAGCCCAGGAAGGAGACCCCAGCCCCAGAATGTTGGGAGGTCCCTACAGCAGGTTCTGCCATCGCAGAATCAGGACGACGCCTGCAGCCGGATGAGGACCGGAGGTGGTGGAGCCCCGGAGGCAGGGCACAAAGAGCTGCGGGAGGACCAGCACCCAGCAGAAGCTCCCAGCAGCCTCTCTGAGCCTCAGCCCTGCAGCCCCTAAGCCACCGCAAAGAGCTTTAACCAGCAATGGCAATGATAACTGCTTTAATTAAGCAATCACCGTTTCCTTTGTCTGCAGAGAATGTGGTAAATCATCCTTGGAGTCGCGGTTTTAGTGATCTTGGGTATGTGTGGTTTAAAGTGTAGACTGTGGGGGTGCATCTGCAGGCAGGTGGGGTCTCTGTCTGGGCTTGGACCCCACTTGACTTGAGCCCCTTCCCTACCCCAGTGTGACCAGCCTCTGCTCCAGCTGGGGAGCTGGCATGCACCTCCCTGATCCTGGGCGCAGGGTGCAGTGGACAAACACACTGGCCAGCAGGACCGTTGGGTCTCCTGCCACTTGGGTGGGCCAAGTCCCTGACGAAGCCAGGAAGGTGGGGAAGGGACTCTGCGGGGCTCCACGGCGCCCTAGCAGTGGTTTCCTGAAGCCTGT